CGAGTCAGTACTGAAGCTTGTGCATTCTGTCATGTATTTCTCGTGTCATGGTTTTCATCTCTGTCAGTTTCGTTTACATGGCCTTCTCTGCATTAATACATTCTAGTTATCACATTTTTTCCACTCTGTTTTCAAGATTTTTAGTTTCTTTTCGCTGGGTACGTAATTCCTCCTTTAGCTCTGAGAAGTTTGATGGACTGAAGCCTTCTTCTCTCATCTCGTCAAAGTCATTCTCCGTCCAGCTATGATCCGTTGCTGGCGATGAGCTGCGTTCCTTTGGAGGGGGAGATGCACTCTTATTTTTTGAATTTCCCAGCTTTTCTGCCCTGCTTTTTCCCCCATCTTTGTGGTTTTATCTGCCTCTGGTCTTTGATGATGGTGGAGGTACTGATGGGGTTTTGGTGTGGGTGTCCTTCCTGTTTATTAGTTTTCCTTCTAACAGTCAGGACCCTCAGCTGTAGGTCAGCTGGAGATTGCCTGAGGTCCACTCCAGACCCTGTTTGCCAGGGTATCCAGCAGCAGAGGCTGCAGAAGATAGAGATATTGCTGAACAGCGAGTGTACCCGTCTGATTCTTGCTTTGGAAGCTTCCTCTCCAGGGTGTACTCCACTCGTGTGAGGTGTGGGGTGTCGGTCTGCCCCTGGTGGGGAATGTCCTCCCAGTTAGGCTACTCAGGAGTCAGGGACCCACTTGAGCAGGCAGTCTGTCCGTTCTCAGATGTCAACCTCAGTGTTGGGAGATCCACTGCTCTCTTCAAAGCTGTCAGACAGATTCATTTGAGGGATTGCATTGGGAGTTATACCTGACGTAAATGACGAGTTGATGGGTGCTGATGAGTTGATGGGTGCAGCACACCAACATGGCACAAGTATACATATGTAGCAAACCTGCACGTTATGCACATGTACCCTAGAACTTAAAGTATAATAATAATAATAATAAAAAAGAAGACAGTTATGCGGCCAACAAACATATGAAAAAAAACTCATCATCACTGTTCATTAGAGAAATGCAAATCAAAACCACAATGAGATATCATCTCACTCCAGTTAGAATGGCAATCATTAAAAAATCAGGAAATAACAGACGCTGGAGAGGATGTGGAGAAATAGGAACGCTTTTTCACTGTTGATGGGAGTGTAAATTAGTTCAGCTGTTGTGGAAGACAGTGTGGCATTTCCTCAAAGATCTAGAACCAGAAATACCATTTGACCCAGCAATCCCATTACTGGGTATATACCCCAAGGATTATAAATCATTCTACTGTAAAGAACACATGCACACATATGTTTATTGCAGCACTATTCACAATAGCAAAGACTTGGAACCAACCCAACTGCCCATCAATGATAGACTGGATAAAGAAAATGTGGCACATATACACCATGGAATACTATACAGCCATAAGAAAGGAGGAGTTCATGTCCTTTGCAGGGACACGGATGAAGCTGGAAACCATCATTCTCAGCAAACTAACACAGGAACAGAAAATCAAACACCATGTGTTCTCATTCACAAGTGGGAGCTGAACAATGAGAATACATGGACACAGGGAAGGGAATGTAACACACCAGGGCCTGCCATGGGATAGGGGGCAATGGGAGGGATAGCATTAGGAGAAATACCTAACGTAGATGATGGGTTGATGGGTGCAGCAAACAACCAGGGAGCATGTATACTATGCAGCAAACCTGCACCATCTGCACATGTATCCCACGAGCAACAGATGTTCATGATGGTTGTAAAGGATCAACTGTATTTTAAAACATAATATATTTTTTAAATCTATAATTCTTTTATAAACACATTCACATTGTTCAAACTATAACCAATAGTTTTTTTTTGTTTGCTTTTTTTAACTTTCATTTTAAGTTTAGGGGTACAAGTCCAGGTTTGTTACATAGGTAAACCTGTGTCTTCAAGGTTTGTTGTACAGATTGTTTCATCACCCAGGTGTTAAGCCTAGATTTCTCAAAAGGGAAAACACACCAAATATATGTTCTTAAAGGTCAAGGGCTGGGTTTTGTATAATAACTAGACCATTATCTGTAGGATTTGAGACCTTGGTCAAAGACCATAATAAAATATTAATCTTTGCTGAACACATTCCCATATCTAACCATCTAGTCAAAAGAGCTTATCTGCTGCATTTTTAAAGAATAACAGGTGGCCTTTTGTCATTTTATGCCTCTCTATCTGAGCCAAACTATATAATCATTTGCATTATACCTTTGGCTCAAAAACTTTTATATGTTTAGGCTATCAAGAATTATTTTTAGTGGTTCCTAAATCATTTTAATCCTCAGAACTACTTTGGCCAATATTTGTCTTTGTTAAAAGTTAAAGGTGAGCACTCAGTACTATGTGAAAATGAACGCAATATTTAATTTTTAGTTTTGTCCTGTTAACATTAGATGATGCCCAGATAGTAAGCCTTTTCGGTAATGTAATCAATGGATGAGGAATTTGACCATTGTTGAAGGTTTTGTATATAAGAAGTCAATACAACATTGACCAAAATATTAACCAGCCAGCCAGAGAAACAGAATCCTAACTATTTCTGAGGAAACTGTAAGTAGAACTTCTGCTGAACAAAATTGTTATTTGAATTATTAGATTTTTTCTTTATCCCAAGTGATGCATTCTTTAAAGGCTTAGATACTTGTTGCAGATTCACCTGTATAAATGTATCTGTTTAAATTATGGCTTATCCCTCTAGGATTTGATTTTTTTTTGTATGGACATGAGATTCTTAATTATGGAAAGACAAATTTGTTTATTATTGCAATTAGTGCCAAATGTGAAAGTCTCATAATTTCTTAATTATTGAACTACAAATTTGTTTATTAAGTTCCTAATGTGAAAGTCTAGTCTCTATGATTCTTCTTTTTGAGAAGGAATAGATCAGTACTCTATTGTCATATAATTGACTGTATTAATATGCTATGTTGACTATTTAATATCATACAAATCAACTGCTGTTGAATTGAACATTATTAATACTATTGTGAAACTTTATAGGCTACTAAAACATTTATTTAAATTATAAACCTTTCAAAACAGAAGTCTAGACCAAATTATATAAATCTCCCTGGGGATGTCCCTATAAAAGCTGGCCCAGGGTCACACTGAAGAAGTATTACAGTGGGAAGAACATAGCCTTTGGAAATAGACTATCTAGTTTCAAATACGGGCTCCACTACTTTCTATGTATTTGATTGGGTGAGTCCTCTTTTAGCCTTACCTTGGTTATTTGTAAAATGAAAAATATAATGCTACCTACTTCATAGAGTTGCTATGAGAATTAAATGAGATAATAGTAATAATAACTATATCTAATTAATGTTTATAAGATACCCAGCATGTTAAGAACTTTATTTTTGTTATCATAATGAATTCCCCTAACATAGAGAAGTGTACTATTACAGGCCTTATTCTGTAGATGAGAAACTGTCTTAGCAAAGATAGTTCATTTCACGTATACCATGTTGAACACACAGTACAGCACACAGTGAACCCTCTGTATGTGTTAATTACTGGTATTTTCCTAGGACTTGGCAACAAGCATTTTGAGAAATTTATTCTGCCCTTGAACATCTTCGAGCCCGTTGGGGTGTTCTCCAACGCAATCAGTAGGTTAAGTGTCCTAACTTTGCAATGGCAAATCACTTAATAGAGGCCATGTGGCTTCCTGAAATGTTTGATGAAAGCCTCTGGTTTGAATGTTCCAACACTACTGGTTAGTCTTTCTATATTAGTTTATCTCTGCCTAAAATATCATGGTAAAAACAAGGCTAAGTTAAAAACTGATTTTTTTTTTTTTTTTTTGGGACGGGGTCTTGCACTGTCTCCTGGGCTGGAGTGCAACGGGGTGATCCCTACTCACTGCAACCTCCACCTCCCGGGTTCAAGGACTCTTCCGCCTCAGCCTCCCGAGTAGCTAGGATTACAGGCGCGTGTCACCACACCCAGCTAATTTTTTTTGTATTTTTAGTAGAGACGGGGTTTCATCGTGTTAGCCAGGATGGCTCGATCTCCTGACCTCGTGATCCACCCGCCTTGACCTCCCAAAGTGTTGGGTTTGCAGGCATGAGCTACCACGCCCAGCCGAAAACTGATTTTTAAGAGATACCCTTAAATCTAATCCTATACTAAATCAGTGGGCAAACTATTAGACCAGAGAGTCAGATTTAGGCCTTCAGAGTTCTGGTCTGGCTTTACTGTAAATCAGGAACTATGCTATATGATCTGCATGAATTACTATAAATGGGTTTTACTGAAATACTATCAGCAACTGGGAAGTCACCACTTTTCAAAGAATTCCACTTGAATCCAAAGATCCAAATGTTACAAATTCCTCACTGTATTCAAGTCAAATATTTATACATGTGACCTCCAAATATTGCTCCTAACATATAGTTTCTCGATAAATATTTATTGAATAATTTGTTTCTGACACACTAAAAATGAAGTGATTTAAAACTGTCCTCTACATGGCTCGCCTTCAAATATTTGAGGACAACATCACTTCTCTACTGAAGCTTTTTCACCAGCTTAATATCTGAGGATTCTCAAACTTATAATTGGTGACTACAACATAGAAGGAAATGTGGGTGTTATGGGTCTAATATCAAATATAGTCTATAAGGCTGGGTGTGGTGGCTCATGTCCATAATCCCAGTGCTTTGGGAAGCCCAGGCGGGAAGATACCTTGAGGCCAGGAGTTCGAGACCAGCCTGAGTAATGTAGAAACACCCTATTTCTTTAAAAAAAAAAAAATTAGCCAGATGAACACCTGTAGTCCCAACTACCCTGGAAGCAGAGGTGAGAAAATCACATAATAACCTCAAATCAGTAAATGTTTGTGGAATAACTATTATAAACAACATTTAAAATCATCATGATGACTTTGAACACACATTATATAGAGATTGGATATAGAGAAGTCAAAGGCCCACACATCCCTCACGCAAAACTGGGCTCTCAAAATAAGCAGGCGAAAGTCTTAAACATAAAGCATAATAAGGACACATTGTTATGCCAATTAGAGGCTTTTATTTTCTTTTTTTGCCAATTAAGATTAATTCAGTATGGCTTGAAACCAAGTGGGAAATGTTCTTAAACAAAAGGAATCAAACAGTGAAAACATGTTAAGCATTAAAAGCATTAAGTTACCTGTGCTGACATCCACATGTCCCAGTTTATTGCCAAGAGAGTATAATCAAACCCAAGCATTCCTCTACTTGGCACAAAGGTAAAATTGGCATAAAATATAAGCATTATGAAAGTATAATGGGTTAATCATGGCACCGGTTATTCTTTTCTTTCAGGCAGGTCCAAAATGTGGCTGCTTTTAACAATGGCAAGTTTGATATCCGTACTGGGGACTACACATGGTCTCTTTGGAAAATTAAATCCTGAAAGCCCTGAAGCAACTATGAACATTGTAAGTTACTCTGGGAAAAAACTCCATAAAACTAAAAGATGCTATTATTTAAAATCATAATGAGTTAAAGATTTTATATGACCAATTAAAAATAAACAGTAATATTCATTTATTAGATATATCTAAAAATCAACTAAAATTTCACCTTTTGGGTTTTCTTCCTCAGAGTCAGATGATTACTTATTGGGGATACCCAAATGAAGAATACGAAGTTGTGACTGAAGATGGTTATATCCTTGAAGTCAACAGAATTCCTTATGGGAAGAAAAATTCAGGGAATACAGGTATATGTGAGCTTCTTTTCTTCCTTCCTTTCTCTCTTTTTTGCTTTCCTTCTTTATTCTTCCTTCCCTCTCTCCTTTCTTCCTCCATCTTTTCATTCTTTTGTTCTTCCCTTTTTCCTCCTTTTATTTCTTCCTAAAAATATAATGTCTTGCTGATTCTGGAAATGCAAAAATAAGCTATATTTTTGGTCTTCAAGGAGATCATCATCAAGCCAATGAAATAGGTAAGTAAATGAGTGATTATAATAATATGTGATAAGCTCAAGCTACAGCTGTGCATAGGATATTAAACTGAAAGTTTTAATAAAACCACCTACCCCAGCTAGGGGAGTCAAGGAAAGCTCACTCTCAGAAACAATAACTGGATGAAGATCTAGAGGATCAGGAACAGTTAGCCAGGGTGCGTGTTGCAGAGGGGAAGATGGGGAGCCAATTCCAGGCTCATTTCCCAAACACATACAGGCCAATTTTCACTAGTATTATCAAAAATTTACCTTTTTATCATTGTAGAAAAGTTGTGAAGTATAAAAAGAAAAAAAAATTACTCGTAATTTTACCACTCACATTTTACCAAATTTAACATTGTGCTGAATTACCTGAGAATATAATTTTTTCAATACTTTTATTGAGATGTAACTGGCATATAATAAGCTGCTCATATTTAAGGTGTGCAGTTTCATAAGTTTTGGCATCTGAGAAATCAACTCCCTGAGAAATCATCACCACAATTAAGATAAGATATTCAAAAATAATCAACCCAATCAGGCAAATGTGTTTAGTGCTAGTCATATGGAAGACTGTTTCTAGCCTCACGTTTATCCTAGAATAAGGAATGCATTTATAAAGTTTATAAACATTTTTCTTCCTTAGGCCAGAGACCTGTTGTGTTTTTGCAGCATGGTTTGCTTGCATCAGCCACAAACTGGATTTCCAACCTGCCGAACAACAGCCTTGCCTTCATTCTGGCAGACGCTGGTTATGATGTGTGGCTGGGCAATAGCAGAGGAAACACCTGGGCCAGGAGAAACTTGTACTATTCACCAGATTCAGTTGAATTCTGGGCTTTCAGGTAAACAAAAGGGACAATTAAAAATAAACACTGGGCTTTAAAAGCATAGGCATTTGCCCCTTCTAATCCAGTCCCATTTTAACAAATTACACTCCTAGTAGGAGGATAGATAAGTCATTTTCATTCTAAACCATTCTTGGAGTCTTCCATGTATCTCACTCCTAGGGTAGTTTTTCCTTCAAACTTCCTGCGATCTCAGGAGTCTCCCATTAGGGAATCCCTGAGTGTGCTTTTCCAAATGGAATGAACAATATGGCTGAAGCAAGGAAATTCACTGCCCCCGGAAAATTCCAAAGGAATGTCCATATGGACTCAAGAGAGATGTGAAAACCCAGTTGGGGGTAGGAGAACAGCAATCTGAATCATCATCAATAGGAGGGGTAGGGAGACTGAAATTCAGATGTCATGGAGAGATTATCACAGGCTTCTCTCACTGGTCTTCTTGTGCCTTATTCCGGGAAATTACTGATGGAGGTAGAGAACAGAAGAAAACCTGGCTGCTGATGCTAAGGCATGAAAGTGTTCCAAGAGTTCTAGCAGCTGAAAGGAAACCTGTGTGTCCCAGGTGTAGCGGGGAAAGGGAAAATGACATGAGTGAAGACTGAGGTGCTGATGGGGCAGTAGTGGTGACAGTGAGAGCCTTGGGCCTCATTCTGAGTGCACAGAGAAGTTTTAACAGGGGAGTGGCATAATACAGTTTTCATTTTCAAAATATCATGTTGGCTGATTTGTGAAAAATAAAACAGAGAAATATAGGATTTATATTAAATGACACTGGAACACAGCATACACATTATTATTAAATCTGACATTTCATTTCAGGGATGGAAATAATTCCCACTTACAGATACTATCTTGTTTGGATTCAATTGTGGCTGCAGTGCTGTGCTTCATAAATGATGTCAGCTGTTTATAAGAAGCCGCCCCAAAGGACACTTGACATTCACTGAGGGTCTATAAGCATCAATGTTTAGAGAATCCAGTTTTCTGTATCCCAAAGGGATCATTAGCTATAAATGCTTGAATTTTAGAAACAATAGCAAGGAAATGTATTCACTTTCATTTTGTCTTTTTCCTTTCAGCTTTGATGAAATGGCTAAATATGACCTTCCAGCCACAATCGACTTCATTGTAAACAAAACTGGACAGAAGCAGCTACACTATGTCGGCCATTCCCAGGGTACCACCATCGGTAAGTAATGGCAGTCAAGGCCAAGTGGTTTACTTCTCATAAACATTTTCCCAGTGGTTATGGTAGGCATGTTAGCAACCACATTAATTGCTTTCCATTCATGTAATGCCTCCAACAACACGATGACATATGGACAATTATAATTCCTATTATATGGGAAAACAAAACAAGGGGATGCAGTTCGTGCAAGGTTACATGGATTATTACCAATAGGGTAGCTCAGGCAGTCTGATTCCCAAGCACATACTCTGAAGCATTATACCACACAGCCACTGAACTGAGTTTATTCATTTGACTGTATTTATGGGACAGGCTCCTATGATGTATCCAAAGAATACAGAAATAAATAAAATAGATGAAAACTTCTGCCTTTGTGCCACTTATACTCTAGAGATAGGAAGCAGAGAAAATAAAAAAGGTTACAAAGCAAAATATAATATATTTTAGATAATGGTAAAGCTATGGAGAGAAAATAACCCAGTGAATTACATTAGAGAGCACCAGAGGGGTTCACAGAAATTGTAGATAGGTAACTACATGGCTTTGGGTAAAGCCATGATGAAGGTCAGAGAGTGAGTCATGTGCCTACCTGGTAGGCATCAGATGTTCCAGAAAGAGAGAATAGCAAGTGAGAAGAATCTGAAGCTGGAGCACACCTAGTTTGTTCAAGGAACAGCAGTGAGGCTATGCCTTGTGTGAATAAATCAAATTGAGAAAGAGACAAGACAGAGTTAGAGACGAGATCACAGAGGTTGGGGAGGAAAGACTGTTCAAGGCACTTTGGCTGTTGTAGGGATTTTAACTTTCATTCTGAGAAAAAAAGAAAACTGCAGAATAACTTTGAATTGAAGAGTTACATGATTCATAACAGGATCCCTTTTGTTGCCAGGGGCAAAGGGGCAGGAGCAGAGAACCAATTAGAGGACGCATATAGTACCCATGTGGGAGATGGTGGTGACCTGGATGAAGGGTGTTCTTGGAAAAACCATTCTTCCACAAATAGAATCAGACTACATATTATATAGTTCTCTAAATGTGAAATGGTTTTTTTAGGCCATTGTTGAGTCTCATCAATATGTCATTATTGACAGTGGGAGGGCCTTGCCTATGTAGCTATACTGCAGAGTTAAACTTGATAACTACTTGATCACATCCTCATCTGCTAGTATACTACTGCTTACAAAATTAATTACTGAATGTATTTACTATGTATAGATATTTGAATTCTCTTGGGTCCTCATTTATCAAGCATTTACTATGTGCCAAGAATCATGATAAATTCTTTCTTTATATGATTTACTTCCTTCAGTTCCTAACAACCTAATGAAGCACTCACCACTATCCTTGTATTTCAGACAGGGAAACAGTGGTTCTTAGAGATTAGGTGGCTTGTCCAAGGTCACAAAACTAATAAACCACAGAGCCAGGATTCAAATCGAGTTTCGTCATATTTTAAAATTCTACTCTTAACCTTTCCACTTATATACTCTACTCATATTGTTAATTAATTATCTCATTGTGATTATATAAATTTAAATTCCTAAAAAATATAGCACAAATAACTATTTTTTGTAACCATGTGAGTATCCCAAATTTGGTCTATTTTCTAAGGTCAGATAAGGGTTTATGATAACTTTTAAAACGTTACAGCCTCATGTCCCCATAGAAAAATCTATGAAAATAAAACAAATATACCAAAATCTAATTACTCTGAGCCAGCAGAGATGCCAAGTTCTCAGGTTTTCTCAAACACCATCCTTAGTAAGTCCAAAATAATGTCACACTTGTACAAACAAACAAAACAACAACAACACACACACACACACACCTTTTTCACCAGTTCCTTGTTCTTTTTCAGGTTTTATTGCCTTTTCCACCAATCCTAGCCTGGCAAAAAGAATCAAAACCTTCTATGCTCTAGCTCCTGTTGCCACTGTGAAGTATACAAAAAGCCTTATAAACAAACTTAGATTTGTTCCTGAATTCCTCTTTAAGGTATGCAATTCTCTTTAATTAAGTGAATCTAAGATACTCGATTGCCCATGGATTTTAAAGTTATAGAAAGAGAACAGAGTTATAAAAAGAGAATAATCATTTTTATATCCAAAAGTGGAACTGTATGCACTGATAGCACTGACCATGTTTGAATCTCCTCTACAGCCTGCGAGATCCCCTTCTTTCTTTGTTCTTGATTAGCTTCATGTGGGTCAGCAATGCCTGGGAGTAGATTTGCTTTTTCACAGATGGTTTATCAAGCACTCTACACAGTTGTGTCAAGGCTGTGATTCCACTCCAGGAGGAGGGAAGAGGAAATAAAAATAAAACAAAATAGTAAAATAAGAAGACTAACCCACTCGGGACAGAGAGACTGGAAAGAGGAGGGAAAGGAAGGAAAGGGAAAAGGAGAAGAGGAAGAAATAAATCAATGATTGAGTGAGGCAAACACCTTGAGATCTCTCATGGCTTTCCCTTTTGGCTTTCCTAAGAGCTCCTTCATCTTTAAACGGGGATTTCATAAGTCAGTAGTGTGGATTTCAATACATTATAAATGTTAAGTGCCTTATGCAGTAGGCACACGTTATCGATTAATCTTTTTGTTTGACAGTGCTTAATACCCTAATTCTCTCACTCAGTGAAACCAACACACACACACACACACACGCACACACACACACTTTCCTTTAGGAGAACGGTTTAGCCTCAGGCTATAAAATATAATGATTCCATTTCCTTCTATGGTTTTGTACTATTCATCTCTTTTCATTCTGTGTTAATATGTATGTCTAAAGCCTAAGAGAACTTACCTATAGGCAAACTACATTTGGAAAACTTTTATTAAAATCCAAAATTTTGTGATGACCCAGATATTTTTATTGGCTACATCAGTTGAGAACTTCTTTCCTACTTGTACTCAGATTTTCTGATAGGCAATGCAGACGTAGATTAAAATTTAGAAAAGCGCTAGACTCAAGTTAGAGGCTTGGGTAAGGATTCTAGGTATAATCGAGCTCTAATTAGCCCAAGACCCTGACTCACGTTAACCTCATGTTTCCTCATTTATAAAATAGAGATGACAAAATATCTGCCTTCCTCAAAGAGAGTTGGGGCAAACTCTTTCTATTCTTATACTGAGCCTCAGTGCCTCTGTAAAGGCTTTGCTGAAAATATGGCCAAGTCACCATTTCTCCTTCCAAACTTTTCACAATTTATTGCTGAAATCTCACATCTTGGCACTTCATTATGACAGTCTGCCATGTATTTTTAAGATTTTATCCCACAACCCCTATCACCCCAACTAGATTGTACTCTTTATGTCTTATACTTCCTCTCAGCAGCCAGTACTGTTCTGTGCCACAATAGATACCCAGTATTGATATCTGCGCTGCCCATTTCACAGCTTTCTTGAGGGAATTAACTAAATGAAAGTATTGGAAATTCCTAAAACAACATGTAAAAATAAGAATATATCATCATCCTAATCACACATGTATAAGTAGATTAGATAAATTAGTGAGTCTTTTCTGCAGCTTGATTGCTACAACCCTCTAATAGTGCCTTTATTTTTCAGATTATATTTGGTAACAAAATGTTCTTCCCACACAACTTCTTTGATCAATTTCTTGCTACTGAAGTGTGCTCCCGCCAGACACTGAATCTCCTTTGCAGCAATGCCTTATTTATCATTTGTGGATTTGACAGTAAGAACTTTAACACGGTTAGTATGCATTTCAATTTCTATATTTTGAGCAACATCTTTGATTACTTGTTTCATTGCCACTTAGAAATGGTACTTTATGAGAACTAGGAGTAGGTTCAGAACTGCGATATCCTGATAAACATGAGAGAAATCACAAATCATTGCTCCCAATTTTGTCACTTCCAGCATCCTTCCATCACCCCAATTGCCCCTAAAACAAATAAACAACATGAAGAAAAAAAAACAATTTACTGCTCAGTTATGACCACCTAAATACTAGGTGTTACATTTAAATTATGTGAGAGAAAGGACTGAATCATATATTTTAGTGGCTCCTTTGTGAGAAAAACGTCTTTATTGAAGAAATGTTTTCAATAAATATTTCTAACGCTGACAGTAATTTCCATCAATCTTACAGACCATATTTCTGAGGAACTATTTATGTAAGACTTTGCCCATATTCTTTTTTTGAGACGGGGTCTCGCTCTGTCACCTAGGCTGGAGTACAGTGGCGCGATCTCGGCTCACTGCAAGCTCTGCCTCCCAGGTTCACACCATTCTCCTGCCTCAGCCTCCCGAGTAGCTGGAACTACAGGGGCCCGCCACCATGCCCAGCAATTTTTTTGTATTTGTAGTAGAGACGGGGTTTCATCGCATTAGCGAGGATGGTCTTGATCTCCTGACCTCATGATCCACACGCCTCGGCCTCCCAAAGTGCTGGGATTACAGGCGTGGGCCACCGTGCCTGGCTGACTTTGCCCATATTCTTTATCTACCTTTTCATTCACTTTGTATTGAGTTCGAGTTTCAAAACATACGTGACAAAATACACTATCATAAAGTAGTTAAGAGTATGGATTTAGGTCAGTTTAAATTCAAACCCTACATTTGGAACTGAGTTAAACTCCTCTGTCTTGATTTCCTCATCCACGAAATGGGTTATTGTGAAGATCAAATGAGCTAGTATGTTTAAAGCATATAGAACATTGTACAAAGCATATAGCACATAGTAATAGCATATAAGGTTTTCTACTACTATTCATAGACAACTATCTCCACTCAAAATTGTCACTTTAGTTATATACCCTTGAACACCTAAGAAAATTACATCTATTGATAAGAAAGTATAATTCTATGAAGTGTTGTAGTTACTTGTCATTCCATATGTGGAGTTTAACAGAGAATAGCCTATCCTCATCACACTAAGAAAAGGCAGAACAAATTACTGCATTCCATTAGTGAGAGTCTTATAAGTAAAATAATAGTAAAATAAGACAAAGGAAATTGGAGATGCCATCTTCTGCATAATAATTTGCAGAAGAGAATCTTCAGTCTCCAATGAAGGTGGCCAATTTGTTTCACTCTGGCCACAGTCCGCTGTATTAATGGCATTAAGAGTCACTATAAAGTGGCCCTCTGCAACTTGAGAAAGGAACTTCAGTTTGCTGCCTGGGGTTCTGCAAAGCAAGAGGCCTGTGGGTGAATATTTAACCTACAGCACTCTAGCACTGAGTAGAGAAGCATAAAAGCTGAGAATTTAGGCTCAGAGACCCAAATTAAAGTATCTGGCTCCATTCTGTGTGGATCTTGGACATTTCTCTAAACTTCTTTGTGCCCCAATTTTCATTTTGATAAAATGGAACTAATAAGTTCTCCTCATTAGGCAGCTACAAATTAGATGGGTTAACACATGCAATTGCACCCTGCAAATTCTGAAGTGACATACAAATGTGTTATTCATATCCTTCCAGTAAATGCTACCTTTAAACACTTGACCTGAATCAGAAAACATAAATCTTTACTGTTTTTAAGAAACTGAGTATGTGTCTACATATGCATATAATATGTGTGTGTGTTGATTTCTAGAGTCGCTTGGATGTGTATGTATCACATAATCCAGCAGGAACTTCTGTTCAAAACATGTTGCATTGGAGCCAGGTATCGTTTTCCAAATGCTGTTAAAACTTATTTTGTGGGTCTCAACCCTTTTCACTTTACCTAAACACATTTTAAAAATATCCTGCTGAGTACACCTAGAAGGTAATTTTTCTGGCACTGATAACCATACAAAAGTAACTATGAATTTATTTCAAAGAAGCAAATGCTTTTTATGACTTAGCATGCAAGAAAAATTATTTTGAGTGAAGCTGCATTTAAACTTACATAAATACCTTGTCTTAGATTATTAATCATCTTTTGGAATAAGAAAAGTGTTTCTTAATAATTGTTTAAGTTGAAAATAAACTGCTTGGAAATGTTTGAATTTTATTTTTCACAATATAATAATTTTTATTTGTTTGTTTTTAATTTCTCTATGTTAGGCTGTTAAGTCTGGGAAATTCCAAGCTTATGACTGGGGAAGCCCAGTTCAGAATAGGATGCACTATAATCAGGTAAGCTTCTTAAAGTTGGAATTATTCACATTTTGAACAATACTAACTATTTAAATATTAAAGAAGAAATTATGTTAACTGTGCATCTATTTTCCAAAGGAATGTTGATGTGCTGTCTCCCATTCTCCCACATGACTACGCATTCATTCTCTGGTGCCTAGGCTCATTTAAAGCTGCCCTCAAAGTACTACATCCCCATGTGTGAGAGACTTCCCAGGACTTACCACTCCCATTGCCATTACACAGACCTGTCCCATATCCCAGATCCCCAGCAAACTGTCCTCTCCTTTCTGAAGTACAAATACCTGATATAATAAGCTAATAATTCTAACTGTTCATGAGATAGAGTTGGAATTTCCAGTCTTCTTAAACATTATCCCTCCCTTTGTTGACAGTCAGAGGAGTGATTTCACTGGAATATATTCCCAAACAGAAGAAAAAGATGCTGTGCTTGCCGGTCAAGGCTGGAAATATTTTACAATAGGCAGAGGCCTTTGGCATAGGCAGACATATTAAGCAGTCCTCGCACTTGTACTAAGAATCCAGACTTAGGAGTTTATCTTATCTTCAGTCAGTATGAGTTTAGGCAATCATTTCTTCATCTCTTCACCTAGGCTCAGGAAGTTGTTGACAGGATTTAGTGCTATAATATCTATAAGCTCTTAGCTCAGTGTAAGCTCTCAGGTTATCATTGACTATTTTTGAACAAGGGAAGTACCCTATAGTATTTTGTAACCTTCTCTTCTTCCTTTTCACCACATCCAATTTTTCCATCCAAGTAGTAGCTGAACAACTCTACTAATTTTCATCTGTTTCCATGACTCAAAATTTAGAAGGGATTGATATGTTTTAACAACAATGTCCTATGTGTAGAGAAGGCGTCCCCCAACCTTGATTTTGCATTTTTGATGTCTTTAAAGTTTTCAGAATAGCATGAGATAAAACTTCTGTTGAAAACATTTTTTCCCTCCACCATCACCTTCTCAAAATCTCCAAAACACAGGCTTGCTTTGAGTCTCTCTTTCTAATGGGCTCTAATACTCATAATCAGAGGACTACATCTTAGAGGAACAAGAAACCCAGTCCTGAAGTCCACCCTTCTTCCAACCAAACCAATAATATACCAGGTTGGTCTTTAACTAACTGAAGCAGTGACACTAATTTAAGAGCCAGGGCCAGCATCTGGAAAACTCTTTGAATAATAGGATATAAGTAAAATAAACTGGGTTTATAATTATGAATATTCTCCACACTACTCCCTTTTCTCTAATATTTAGGAAATATAATAGAAATCATGAAAATATTAGGGAAAATTACATATCATAAAATATTTTGCTATGGCAAATCGGCTATTACACAAAAGGTGAGAATACATAAACTTTGAGTATATTGGATTACTATTCTTGGAACTATGATCTAAAAGAATTCTAACAAAATTCTCTCTGAGCAGCAAGAAAATTCGAGATAATTTTCTTATTCCCTTTTCTGCTTTGTAAACCTCTTTAAAATATATGTGTGAATTGTGATTTTCGAGAAATAGGACATGGGGATGATAATACCCTTTCTCAGAATTTGAGGCAACATTTTGTAAATACTCAGGTAAGTATTCGACAATTACAGTTCCATAACTGAAACAACTGACCTATCCCCTGACCATACTGGGAAGTCAATACAGAGCCAAAATAAATGACTCAGGACATTTTAAGATCATATTTTAGAGTGTTTGGGTAGAAACAACTTATTAACAATTAGAATCTAATCAAATCCATTTCCTTTAGCTTGAGTTGCAATCTATGTTCTTAATTTGTAAGACTTACTGTCTGAAGCCTTACTATTCAGAGCAGGGTTTGGAGCCAATGGCATCAGAATCACCTATGAATGCAGAATCTCAGGCTCTTCCCCAGATCTACTGAATCAGAATCTTTACTTCAACAAGATCCTCAGGCGATTCACAGGCCCATTAGAATTTGAGAAGCACTGATCTAAAACATATTGCATTCACTTTGCTCTGTGGATAAAGGTGGTTTTCTCTGTGCAATCATTGCTAGAATTCACTTATAAAACTGTCAGTTAGTGTTATACACTCTACTTGAAGAATAAGTACTGGGTTTAAAGTGTGTTTACCTAAACTCTGGTTCTTTCTCTTGTCTTTTCTAGTCCCAACCTCCCTACTACAATGTGACAGCCATGACTGTACCAATTGCAGTGTGGAGCGGTGGCGAGGACCTATTGGCTGACCCCCAAGACGTTGGCCTTTTGCTTCCAAAACTCTCCAATCTTATTTACCACAAGGAGATTCCTTTTTACAATCACTTGGATTTTATCTGGGCAATGGACGCCCCTCAAGAAGTTTACAATGAAATTGTTTCTATGATATCCGAAGATGAAAAGTAGTTCTGGATTTAAAGAATTATCCATTTGTTTTTCCAAAATACTTTATTGTCTCATACATAGTATTTTCCTAATGTTTGACATGCAGTGCTTGTTTCTGTAATTCTGACTTTAGAAATATATTGGCATCAACAAACTTCCATTTGTCATTTTGAATTTTTTTAATTTAAAGAAATTTGATTTTCACCTGGAAATTTATCTAGAAATACTTGAGAGAACATATTTCTGGGGAGGTGAAACTTCTCTTCTCATTTTCCCATTCAGTTTCTCTTCTGAACTCACTTATATATGAGCTGTGAGCCATAAGTGTTACCAAAGGACAGTGTTGGCTTCATATTCACTCTGCTTATGTACGCTTGATGCTGAGTATATTGCTTTCTATTGCTGATGAAGCCGAGTCTTTCCATCTGTGTAGTGGGGCCTATCACTTGCTATTTTGCAAATTTAATCCCATGGAAAGGCCAATTGGGATGTAAACTGGATCAACTCACTTTCACTTCCCAGGGAGTGGAGAGCAAGGGTAGTTTGGGAAGCAACAGATGACGTCAACCCTGATTCAGGAATTTGAGATGAAAAGGGTACGCTCTATTATTATTATTATTGTTCTGCCCTCATGTTTTTGGGTCTTAACCACCAAATAGGCACCAACTAACCAAATTATTTTTGAAATCTCTGCCACAGTGCTGGAAACCACAGGATCTAGAAACATCCCCGTTGATATATAAGTTAGGATGTACAACTGCCATCAGTACCAAAAAAAAAAAAAAAAAGGCTCACCCAAACTTTTGAAATTCGAAAAACACACACACACAGCTTTACCTTGGAAATTTTATTAACCCCACAAATTTGTGACCTCATTTTATGGAATTAAGTTATTCAGAGCACACCTATTATGCTATGTTAGGGTTCGATGTATAAAATATAAATGAGATAAGGAATATCTTGTACCCAGCATAGTGTATAGAACATAGTGAGTACTCACAAAAACCTGTCAACGATGTTTATTATATTGTCACATCCCTCAACCTTTGTTAGGAAGCCCCAAACTTATTTGTTTTAAGTAAGAAATTGCTAAAAGAAGATAACTTGGGAGGCTTTATTCAATATTTCAGTAACTTTGTTGGCAGACTTTACTAAGCTGACATGAACATGTCGGTGACTAGGTACAAATGTTCATGGTGGTGGAAACAGTTAAGGACTCAGATGTTTTATCAATTCTACTTCCTTGAGAAAAGAAAAATCATTAGATTCTTGCAGTCTCCTGTGCTTTTCAGCTAACTGCCTTTCTTTTAGTCGGTACTCAGCATCTACATGCAGTTTTGGTTTGGATTTTGAACACAATTAAATACTGTCTTATTGCTCCCACAGCAGCTTTGCTAGTTCTCATTTGTTAATTTGAACTGTCAATATATCAGCTAATTTTTAAGAGTTTATTTCTATCTGCCTGCTGTAACCACTCCTTGGGCAACCTCCTGCCATGTCAAACTCAATCATTTCAAACTCAAATTCATCATCCCCACATCTCTGAGCCAAATAAGTGTCAAGTTAATGAAGTTCTCCGAGTAACCAGGGAGTGAGACTCTGGAATCAACTTCGATTACTGCCTCTCCTCTAGTTACCCTTTCCCTTTGTAAAATAGAAACTGTTTAATAATCCCCTTTGTATCCATTACTCAGTTTCAACTATTATCAATACATAGCCTTATTTCATAATCTGGTTTTATCTGTATCTCTAGCCACTTCTGTCCTCTCATCTTAATTTGAAGCAAATCTCAAGCATCACATATTTCATCCATGAGGATTTCAGGATGAACTGCTAAAAGATAGTCTCTTTTTTAACATAATACTGTTATTACATCTAAAATTTTAAAAATATCTAGCCAGTCCTCACATTTCTAATTATCTCATAAATGTCAAAATGTTTTATAGTTTGTTTAAATTGAAATTCAAGTAAAGCCTTTATCTTTTATTACTTGATGTTTTCTTGTGTTTCTTTACATATATAGGTCCCTTTGCCCTTGTTCTTTTTATTTTGTTTTATTTTATTTTATTTTATTTTTTATTTTTGAGATAGAGTCTTGCTCTATCACCCAGGTTGGAGTGCAGTGACATGATCTCAGCTCACTGCAACTTCCGCCTGTTGGGTTCAAACGAATCTCCTGCCTCGGCCTCCCCAGTAGCTGGGATTACAGGCGCATAATACCACGTCCAGCTAATTTTGTATTTTTAGTAGAGATGTGGTTTCATCATGTTGGCCAGGCTGGTCTCGAACTCCTGACTCACCCACCTCAGCCTCTCAAAGTGCTAGGATTACAGGCATGAGTTACTACACCTGGCCTTGTTGTTGTTTTTGTTGTTGAAGAAGCTGTAGTTTGTGTTGTAGTTTCATACCATTGGAATTTTGCTGATTATATTTCACGTTCCTCGCCTTTCGTATTTCCCGTAACTCAAGCATTCTTAACCTCAACACTATTGATATTTTTGGTAAGGTCATTTTTTCCCTTATCGAATATCCTTTTTTATTATTTTTACAGATTCAGGGAGTACAAGTGCAGTTCTGTTACATGGATATATTACATAGCAGTGAAGTCTGAGCTTTTAGTGCACCCATCACCCAAATAGTGAACGTTGTACCCAATAGGTGATTTTTCAACCTTCAAGGTAATTTTTTTATTGTTGGAGTTGTCCTGAGTATTGGAGGATGTTTAGCAATATCTCTAGCTAGATCCCGATAGCACACACATCCCAAGTTGTAACAGTCAACTATGTCTCCTGACATGGCCAAATATCACCTTCGTGGCAAAATGCCCACCCTACTCAGTTAAGAACCAGTATTGTAAATTATAACCTTAATCTGACTAATATGTTTTTAAATTTTTATTTTATAGACCGTATAGTGTTCTTCCATAACGAGGCTGATAATGCACAGCTGTTTCCCTTTTTCAGAATGTCAGAGACTACTGCTTTTCAATACACAAACCCAAGAGTTAATTGGGAAATTAAAAATGGTGGCATTCCAATTTGATGAGTTCTTCATTTATTAACTGAATACTTCCATAAAGAGGAATTGTTCTCACGCATCTTTTAGTTATCCAAAATGCATGATTCTCTCCCTTTACGAATTTCCAAAATTGATTTATCTTTGTTTAGCATTATAATAAATATATGGTTCTATGCATGTTTGATGTTTCAAATCAGTAAGGATAATAATCCTAATGGTATAATGAAAATTATACCCTCTGTTACTCGTGAGAGCTTCTATAAGTTGGCTCCAAAGTTCTTCTACCAAAGCTGTCATCCTGAATGTATGCTGCTTCTGCTCAATTATTTCCCTCAGAGGTCCCAATTCCTTTTTAATGTGGAATTTTACAAGATCATGTTCTATAGGTGAGGATGATCATTGTTATTAGGTCATTACTTGTAGGACTTTTCAATGCAGAGACGTATGAATTTCTTTTTGAGATAAGATTTATCAGTACTTCATATTTATTTGTTTGTCAGATAAAAAATACGTCAGCTCTTCATCTCCTTCTCCATCATGACAGCTCTCAACACACAATGCTTGAACTGTTAAAGTAGCATTTTAAATGGTCTACCTTTCTCTTGTCTCTGCTTAACATTCCAAATTGATTCCTAAAATCCTCTTCATTGTTCCACCTAAGTTCAAATTGTTCAACCTACCACGTAAAATCCTCATAAAGCTGGTTACTTACATATACTATCTCTTTTCCAACTACCTTAACTAGTAGTCTCCCTTACAGTCAAGTTTTCTCTTTATTATGCCTCAAATGCACTTCTAAACTTGTGTCATCATATTGTTGTTCACATTTCCCTCCAAAATTCCGTGTAACTTGTCTTGGGGCTGCAGGTAGTTTTCTATGCTTTTGTGCATAACTCACATGAAAATCAATATATATGAACTGAGAACTGTGTTGCAATCTAAAACTCACTAGAAATAACTTGACTTACATTTTTAAAAATCACGGCATTTTAGAATTTGAAGAGATCTAAGCAATTATCTAGTCTAATCCTATTATTTTCCAAGTGAGGATATTAAAGTTAATAGAAGTTCAGCACCTTGATAAAGGTCATACAGCTGGCAGTGTTAGAGATGGAATCAATATCTCCTAATCCAAGTATTCTTCTCCTTTTGCTGCACAAGTCTGATATGAATGGCTCTGTTACAGTGTCAAATATTACTAGAGTTGTCTGAGGGAGAAAATGGAAGGGGGGTTGCTAAGGGTTTTAGCAAATATTATTCAGGGTAATACTGAGTATCTCAGCTTCTAGAGTGTACACAGAAATCTGGTAAAAGGAAAATGCCAGTTGAATGTCAGCTTTCTCTGAAAGTGTGAGAAAAAGTGAGATGTAGCAGTTAGATATTGAAGGAAAAAGGAGGAATGGAGGCAAGAAGGAAGTAAAGAAAGGAAGATATTAGAAGACACAGAAAGGAATTTGAGCTTCCAGGTGCAAACATTACCTGCATATCTCAGTTGACCATTATCCTAGCCCTACTGGAAAAATTCTAAAAGCTATATATAATCTAAACCAAACCAGAAAAAGTATTTAAAGCATACAAGGAAGATGCCACTCTAGAATTTTCTTTTGAAAGTAACATTCTGAAGAACAAATAAAAATACAGATGAGGCCAGGTGTGCTGGCTTACGCTTGTAGTCCCAGAACTTTGGGAGGCTGACGTAGGTGGATCACCTGAGATCAGGAGTTTGAGATCAGCCTGGTCAACATGGTGAAACCCTATCTCTACTGAAATTAGTATCTATCTCTACAAAAATTAGTAGGGTGTGGTGGCACACGCCTGTAATCCTAGCTACTTAGGAGGCTGAGGCGTGAGAATCACTTGAACCCAGGAGGCAGAGGTTGCAGTGAGCCAAGATAGTGCCACAGCACTCCAGCCTGGGCAACAGAGACTCTGTCTCAAAATAAATAAATAAACAAACAAACAGATGAGATTAACTATTTGCTGAAATAACCCACCGTACAAAGTAGTTTACAAGTGGGTTGCTGATGATAACTGTGAGTCCAAAATTTCCTCAAGGATTTTAAATTATCACTAAAATAAACTATTAAACAATGCAAAGCATCATAATGAGGTAATCTCATAATAAAATCTATAGTAG